TTTTCATTATTAGGTTATATTATATAACTCACGCCTGGGTTTGTGGTTTGACTACGTTCTAAATGGTCATCATTTGAATTTCAGATGAAGTTTTTGTTCTCATAATGGCCTAATTACATTAGCCAGAGTATGAGATATACGAAAATGACGATGATCTTACTGACGAGGAGGACATCTTGAATGGAAATGACGCAGAACATAGATCTAGAACTAAACGTGAATGCCCATTCATTCGATGGAAATTTCGATTTGAATGGGTTCCAAACCAAGAATTCTCACCCTGGTGGGAGTCACCCAGTCAAAGACTAATTTATTCAACCATTTTACCGGGTACTTTGAGAGTTTTTTTATGCCCTGAATGCAAGGTTCCATCATCAAAAATTTATAAGACCGCGTGGATATGCTTAAATCATAAATGCAACCACTTTTGGCAGGTACAATATTAAAATTTATTGTCGCGGATTATCGTGAAATCGGATCATCGTGAAATTTGGGGGTCTCAATTTGAAAATACAAGCCCAACCAAAATCCACCTATACTCTTTTATTAATAATTCTAACCCTAAATCATCCAAATTTCACGATAATCTGATTTCACAATAATCCGTGACATTTATTATTATTATTATTATTTTAACAGATTGGTTTTATATTTCCGATTTTCATTATTAAATACAGGCATGGTCTAATCAAAATCAATGGGTTAAAGTACCAGATGATCTCATCTATGATCCAGTGTTTCTCAATCCTGGTCTAATAGCTCGTGATCAATTGCATCGCATACCATTCTCAATATTGCCACCACAACCTCCAAGCACGTTAAATAATGACATAACAAATTCTAATGTCTTATATGGTGTCCAATACTGGAAAGGCTTTCATTGCCTCCGATGTGGTCGAGTTTCTTGTCGTGATAAGTGGGCTTTTTGGGAGTGTGCGAATTGTGGGGTATGTCATCTCTTATGCAATTCTCTATATGTTTTTCTTTAATACATCAACCTCATTCTATTTCTATGTGCAAATGATTGTAAAGTTAAAGCATGAAGTCCCAGAACAGCTTCTTTTTCCTTCGATGTTACGTAACCCAAATCTCCCTGTCTTAATCGGGCCCGCTTTCGATTATGATTCATGTATTAAAGACAATAGTGGGATTACCAAGACAAGTGAAGTGTCTGCAGAAGGTGCCGTTGTCTGCAAATATTACTTTCCTGAAGGTGGTTATATTATACATAGGATTGGGAATAGCTCTATAAATAGAATATCGGATCAATTTTTCATAAAATTCCAACGGAAAGATTTACCATTTAAAAGGAATATTTTAAAAAAAGGCTACAATAGAAGTAAATTGTTTTACTTTATTACTGCTTTATTTGTTTTGATTTTATTTACATGATTAATGAAAATTCTATAGTCGGATCGCAGTTAATCGCTCGTCAGTTTACCATGAATGTCGGAAAACAATATAAATTCTCGTTGGAATGTGACACATTAACGTTTGAAGAAACCCCGCAAATCGTTCAGGATTGCTATAAATATATACACGAAATGTGCAACTCATTTATTGAAGGCGTTAAGTTTAATGAAATGCTATTAGCGGCATATTTAGATGATCAGCGCGTGAATATTGTCTTTTTTTTTTTTTTTGGTTTTCAGCTGTCATACATTATTTTAGTGCTAATCATTATATTATACCATATTTCTCGTCACAAGATGTCGTGGCACGGTAAGAAATTAGTTGTTTGAACTGAGTATTGGTTATAAGGAAAATAATTCTTTTATCATCCTAATAGATGATGGAGAAAGAGGGGTCGGTCCAATAATTGGGAACTTGTCCCTCGGAGCTTCCGCTGAACTGAAATTTCGAAGGAAGAAACGGAAGATGTCGAAGTTATCCGATAAAGATTGTGCAGATAACTTCTCTGTTAGGCCAAGTGATTCTTCTAATTCTAACAAAGATGCCTCTGACGAAAGGCTACCATTACCATATACGATTTTTACGCCATCTCCATACATGCCAATTGACGCGCTGGAGTTGGGCCTAAAATCACGTGGAACGGGCCCAGAATTGATCCTGAAGATTCATCATGGTGATTTGTTGATGATGGTTGGACATGAAATTCAACAAAACTATGAGCAGTAAGTTTATAAATAATTCGAGTTTATGTGATTTTCTAATTTTGCTAATGATATATACATCTATGTATGTATTATGTATTTTAGTGCTTTATTTCCAGAAGGGTTTAGGATTGCAGCAACAGTACGATACATTGTATTAGATGATGAATCTACATAGTTTATTCATTTCTCTATTTTTTAGGTTGCCCTGAATTTATTTTATTATTTTTTTCTCTAAAAAAAGCTTGAAATTTAGAGTGCAATTAACGAGCTTGAAATTTAGAGTGCAATTAACGATTGGCTTTAAGCTTTGCATTTAACAATATATATATATATATTCCGATATGTAAATGTATTTTATTGTGCGTATTTAGTTTATTTGTTGAGTGTAACTGATTGCTAGTGCGGTATATGCATTGTTTTTAGTCGCAATTATTTTTATCACGTGCGTAATTTCTGTTAAGATTCTCTGTTTAACAAATATTAGATACAAATTAATGCTGTAATCTTATTGGTTAATTTGATGTGCATTAACCCATATAGATTTTAAAAAATACATGAAGTTATTTCTATAATGTTGAAGAATTGAGGGGGGTTATGTAAAACGGGGGTCATGATTTTTCAAAATTTTTGAGATAATATAAAATGCACCTATGGTGTATAACACCTATTATGTTTCGTATATAAACTTTTTGACATTAAGGTTAGTACGTACTTATAGTTAGGATTAGGGCCTGTAGAACATTTTTACTTATAACACCCCACACCGCTTAATTAGCTAGTTTTTGAGAT